GGGGGGGGGAGTAGGGCATGGCTGGGCTAGCAGGGGCTGCGGGTCAGGAGGGGCACCGGCAGAGCTGGGGGGGGGAGTAGGGCATGGCTGGGCTAGCAGGGGTTGCGGGTCAGCAGTGAGGGGCACCAGTAGAGCTGTGGGGAGCTGGCTGCCGGCTCACAGGGCCCCGTTTCTCTGTGCTTGCTCCAGCAGAGCAGGTCTCCGGGTGCCAGGCTCCTGCTGAGCCCTGGGGCAGTTCCTGGGGGCTCGGGCTGCTGTGGGGTGTGTGCAGTGTGTCCCAGGCCGGAGGGTCATGCAGCTCCCTGCTGGCGTGTGGGCTGCATGGCTGGGATACTCGGCATTCCTGGGCCCCTGCCAGGACGGCCTGGGAAGCCGGTGGGGCCGGCTGGTTGGCAGGATACGGAGCCGTGTTATCAGGTGTTTACTAGGCAGTTGGTGGGCACAGCCGCCCGCCGCTCTCCAGCAGCTGCCGTCGGTGGTGCAGACGGGCGCGGCACCGAGCAGGAGGGCACGGCTGGAATCTGCCGCCTGACCCGAGAGCCACAGTTCCTGCTGCCTGTCGGGGCGGGGGGATCGCCAGCTCCAGAGGGGAGCAGGCCAGGCCCGGGCGGGTTCGCTGGCACCCCTGGGTGGGGCGATGGGGGCTGTAGAACTGGGAGGCGCTGGCCAATGGGCCCCTCCTGAGCAGCCTCCAATGTAGGGCAGAGCCGGGCTCCCCTGCTCCGGGGAGCTCTGGGGGCAGGACACGTGGCTGCAGCCCCCTCTCCCCGAGATCCCCCCAGGCCCGCACCGTATTTGTTGCCGTCCTCGCCATTGGCACGGACCCGCTTGCCGAGGACCTGCAGGTGCCCGCTGCTGCTGCGGCTGTACAGCTGGTAGACGCGGACGTGCCGGTGGCTCACCTCGTCCAGGTGCCGTGTGTGGTTCTCCACGTAGAGGCGGAAGTCGGCCGCTGTCTGGTGAGACTCCTGCAGGGAAAGGCAGGCCTGGCTCCCCACTGCGGCTCTGGGGGTCAGGCCCCTCTGGAGGAGGGCTGGGGCATGCCGAGCCCCTCGCAGCACGAGGAGACCAAGGGCAGATGCTGGCCAGGCCCATAGCCTGTCTGTCCAGGGAGCCACGGCCCACGGGAGGCCCCTCCCAGCCAGGGACCTACCCAGCCCCCCCCAGGTCTCTGTCACCTCCCCCCAGACAGTCTCTCTCCCCAGGCCCCTGCCCGAACGGGGCCCCGTCCATCCCTGCCCATTCTGCTCTGGCTCTGGTGGTGCAGCACCCCAGCCGGGAGGTCCCCTGTTCACCTGGCATGGTCAAGGCGGCCCTGCGGCCCCTCGCCAAGTGCCGGGGTTTGTCTCTGCCGGCCCCACGGTTACAGCCGGGAGACTGGCAGTGACTCCAGAGGAACAGCTGCCTGATGCTTCCCGCGGCAACACCCCGTTCCCAGTGGCCAAATTTAACCCATTCAGGCCGAAATTCCCCCGGCCAGGTGCCTGCCTCAGGCCACATCAGCTGAGCTGGGCGTCATGTTTGGGAAAATAGGCGGCTCTGTCCTCAGCTCTCGCTGGTGTGTCGCAAACCTGCGGCTATTTGGTGCTTCGCTTTAGCCCCAGCTGCTCGGGCAGGAGGTCGCGGAAAATCTCGGCTTCCATTTTCACAAAGGTGCCACATTTGCAGACAGAAGCCTGAAAGCGGGACCAGAGTGTCTCCACCAGAAACCCACCTGTTACTGTGAAACGTCACCGGGTCGCACGCCAATCACATGCCATTCAGCCTGGGGGAGGAGGGGCTAGGCTGGCTCACAACCACTCTGCCGCCAGGCTCAGGAACAGGGACCTGACATTTGGAGGCAAGTTGCCCTGTGGTCAGGGATGTATTTTGAGGAAGCCTCATTGAGGGTGCAAGAACAAACCATCCCGTTGTGGAGAAAGAATAACAAATATGGCAGGTGACCAGCTTGGCTTAACAGTGAAATCTTCAGTGAGCTTAAACACAAAAAGGAAGCTTACAAGAAGTGGAAACTTGGACAGATGACGAGGGAGGAGTATAAAAATATTGCTAGAGCATGCCGGGGTGTAATCAGGAAGGGTAATCAGAATTGGAGTTGCAGCTAGCAAGGGATGTGAAGGGTAACAAGAAGGGTTTCTTCAGGTATGTTAGCAACAAGAAGGTGGTCAGGGAAAGTGTGGGCCCCTTACTGAATAGGGGAGGCAACCTAGTGACAGAGGATGTGGAAAAAGCTAATGTACTCAATGCTTTTTTTGACTCTGTCTTCACAGACAAGGTCAGCTCCCAGACTGCTGCACTGGGCAGCACAGTATGGGGAGAAGGTGACCAGCCCTCAGTGGAGAAAGAAGTGGTTCGGGACTATTTAGAAAAGCTGGACGAGCACAAGTCCATGAGTCCAGATCTAATGCATCCGAGGGTGCTGAGGGAGTTGGCTGATGCGATTGCAGAGCCATTGGCCATTATCTTTGAAAATTCGTGGTGATCGGGGGAGGTCCCGGACAATTGGACAAAGGCAAATATAGTGCCCATCTTTAAAAAAGGGAAGAAAGAGAACCCGGGGAACTACAGACTGATCAGCCTCACTTCAGTCCCCAGCAAAATCATGGAGCAGGTCCTCAAGGAATCCATTTTGAAGCACTTGGAGGAGAGGAAGGTGATCAGGAACAGTCAACATGGATTCACCAAGGGGAAATCGTGCCTGACCAACGTGATTGCCTTCTATGAGGAGATAACTGGCTCTGTGGATGAGGGGAAAGCAGTGGATGTGTTATTCCTTGACTTTAGCAAAGCTTTTGATACGGTCTCCCACAGTATTCTTGCCGGCAAGTTA